TCAGTCTGGAGAAGAGGAGGCTGAGGGGAGACCTCCTGGCCCTCGGCAACTCCCTGCCAGGAGGGGGCAGAGAGGGGGGATGAGTCTCTGGAGCCAAGGCCCCAGCGCCAGGCCCCGAGGGAATGGCCTCAAGCTGCCCAGGGCAGGGTCAGGCTGGCTCTGAGGAAGGATTTCTGTGCAGAAGGGGCTGTTGGGCGTTGGAATGGGCTGCCCAGGGCAGGGGGGAGTCCCCGGGATCCCTGGGGGGTTGAAGAGTCGGGCTGAGCCAGCGCTGAGGGGTCTGGGGGAGCTGGGAAGGGTCAGGGGGTGGGTCAGTTTGGGCTGGAGGAGGTTCCAGGGCTTTCCCAGCCGAGGTGACTCAGGGTTCTGTGGAGCCAGCCCCAGCATCCTCCTTCTTGCCCAAGTTCTTCCGCCGCTCAGACGATGGTGGAGTCGCTCATTCCCGAGCTTGGCTTCCCCTCAGGTCTCTCCGTGCCTGAGTTGTTCCTCTCATCTGAGGGCTGCAGGAAGCAACCAGGACATGGTGCTGCTCTTTTTTGGAAGCGAAGACAACAGCCACCTCTTGATTCTTCCTCTCTCTTCGAGGCCACGTTTTCCTCGTGGTTTATTCAGTTCCAGAATCAAAACTCATCAGTAATTGTGACTCTGGGGCTTCCCTCTCTGATGTGCCTCGCTCTCTCGCTTGCTCCTCGTTCCCTCACCAGAAGTTCCTCCCTGAGGACTGTGGCCGTGCAGGAGGAGCCTTCCTCCCCACTGCTTACTCCAGGAGCAGAACTCTTCCTCAGATGGGCGGGAAGCGAGCGAGGAAGCCGCTGACCCCACGCCTCACTTGCTGTCCCGTTTCCTTCCCAAGGGCTCCTACCTTCCCACCATGCCTGGAGACCTGCTTTTCGATGAGAAGAACTGGAAAATTGGGCAGAGGGATACAATTTATAGTAAGTATCGGGGAATCTCACTGCTCTGGCGCTCGTAGGGGACGGCGCTCAGCCAGGGGATGGAAGGGAACGTTTGAAGACACGTCAAGGCCGACTCGGTCTTGTTGAGTCCTTCGTGATCTCCGCTTGGGTGGAGCAACTTCGGGTCCCTTTTTGTCGAGCTCTGTGAGAGGCACGTGGTGGGGCTGGATGGTGGGAGGAGGGGAGCCAGGCCTGTCACCCCCTCGGTGAGCTTCTGGCCACGTGGCCATCCTGGAGGTTGTTGTGGGAAGCGACTAACCAACCGTATCCCCTTTCACACGTAGCTTGTCAGTGTGGCTCCTGCTGGGTTGTCACCGAGGTAAGTGACTCCTTGGGGCCGGGGGTCTCAGCTGCTCTGTCTTCTCACGCTTCTCACTGCAGCTCTGTCACCTCCATGGGAAAAAGCCCGGCTTGGGATGAGCTTCTCGGGTCTTCTTCTGGCTGCCCATCCTCTTTGCATCATCTCAAAATGCATCTTGACCTCGTGGCTGGGCTGTTTCTACTGGGTGGCTGCTGTAGATGCTCCTCCCGCTGCCCTGCTCCCCTCCTGCCCACGTGGACGCCAGTGTCACCTCTGTGTCAAGTGTCAAGCTGCGAGAGCAGCTGCAAGGCTCAGAAGCCAGTTGGGTTCTTCTCCAGCCCAAGTGGGCTCTTATCCAAGGCTATTAGGTTCTTCTCTAAGCCAACTGCGTTCTCCGAGCCCGTTGGGCTCTTCTCCGAGCCAGTTAGGTTCTTTCTCGAGCCATTTGGGTCCTTCTCCAAGCCAGTTGGGTTCTCCAAGCCAGTTGGGCTCTTCTCGGGGCCATTTGGGTCCTTCTCCAAGCCAGCTGGATTTTTCTCTGACCAAAATGGTCTCTTCTCCAAGCCAGTTGGGTTCTTCTGCAAGCCAACTGGGTCCTTCTCTGAGCCAATTGGGTCCTTCTCCAAGCCAGTTGGGTTCTTCTCCAAGCCAATTGGGTTCTCTGAACCAGTTGGGCTCTTCTTCGAACCAGTTGGGCTCTTCTCCGAACCAGTTGGGTCTTTCTTCAAGCCAGTTGGGTTCTTCTCCAAGCCAGTTGGGTTCTCCAAGCCAGCTGGGTCCTTCTCCAAGCCAGTTGGGCTCTTCTCCCAGTGAGGTGCTGGGCTAAGTGGAGCTGGGATTTGTGTCTCCCCATGGGAGCAGTGGAGCAAAGTGGGTACTTCCAGGTCTTGGTTAGTCCCCCCTAAATTGGCGCCTAATGGTGTCCTGCTGGCTGTAGGAAGAACCTGGTTGGTCTGGAGATGTTTCCTCGTGGGCACGCGTCTCCTCCTGCCTCACGTTAGCTGTTGCGATGACCCCGCGTAGGAAGCCAGGGGGAGGATATGGCAACGCCCTGGGTGCCCTTGGCTTTTGCTAGCCGCCTTCAGCGCCCGGTTGGGCTTCCAACCTTTTTGACCCCACCTTCGTGTGTCCAAACGCAGTGTGGGCTTCCCATGGAGGTGAGGAAATGCCAGTGTGGCGCTTCCGTTGGGGGAACTGACCACAAACCTGTGGCGGGCTTCATGAGTGAGAATACGTAAGTAAACCCTCCAGGCTCCGCAGGCCCAGAGGACTTCACCTGTCCACCTCCCCCTCCCGCAGAGCCACGGGCACGGGGAGAATGCCGTGGTTGGCCAAAGCAAAGGTCTCCGCGTCCCGTGGTCCCAGCGTGGGACCTTGCAGAAGACGTGGTGGGTAATTGCTCTTTCTGAACGCAGCACCGAGGACAGAACGGAGAGGGGCTACATCCTGGGGAGCCCTCTCTCGCGGAGGAACGAGCTGGAGAGGTGCCTGTCGCCTGCCTGCGTGGGTCTTGCGAGGACTCTGCTCCATTCGTCCCTTCTGCTGGGGCTCTACTCTGACAAAAAGGTGAGTGGCCACCGCGCCGGCGGGGAGGAGCGTTCGGCTTAGCTGGAGGGGGAGACCTTGAGAGCTCTGACAGAGGAACCTGCCCCCTCCCCCAGGCCGTTCTAGACCTGATGAAAGAGCAAGTGGAGGATGTGGAAAAGTTCTTCTGGGGCCACCTTCAGAAAGACGTGGCGTGCCTGGCGGAAGCGCTCAGCAAGAACACGGAGGATGCCGTGCTGACTGTCCATCTGTTTCTACAGGACCTGAGCAACAACAACCCAGCAGGTAGAGGGACGATGGGAAGCTCAGGGAGGGCAACAGCAGGCTCCCGGTGGTTGGGTTTTAACTGGGACTGGAGGTATTGGTTCCTCCTTCCTGGGCGAGTCTCCATCCTGGGAAATCCAGAGTCACCTTGGCTGGAAAAGCCCTTGAGGCTCCTCCAGCCCAACCTGAACCTCCCCCTGACCGTTCCCAGCTCCCCCAGATCCCTCAGCGCTGGCTCAGCCTGACTCTTCAACCCCTCCAGGGATCCCGGGGACTCCCCCCTGCCCTGGGCAGCCCATTCCAACGCCCAACAGCCCCTTCTGCACAGAAATCCTTCCTCAGAGCCAGCCTGACCCTGCCCTGGGCAGCTTGAGGCCATTCCCTCGGGGCCTGGCACTGGGGCCTGGGCTCCAGAGACTCCCCCCCCTCTCTGCCCCCCCTCTCAGGGCTGGCTGTCTCCATCCCGGAGGGGCTGGTGGCTGCACTGGGTTGTCCCTTCACCTCCTCTTGGCCACCAGAAACCCACCCGGGATCTTCTTCTGTGCCCCAGCCCCTCTTTGGGAGCCCAACCTCAGATGCAACCTCCTGGGTGCTCCCCGTGGTTTTCGAGGTGGTCCCCGTGGGTTCCCAGTTGCCGAGGGCCAGGAGGTCTCCCCTCAGCCTCCTCTTCTCCAGACTGAACCCCCCCAGTTCCCCCAGCCGCTCCCCAGCAGACCTGTGCTCCAGACCCTGCCCCAGCTCCGTTGCCCTTCTCTGGCCACGCTCGAGTCATTCAATGGCCTTTTCGGGGTGAGGGGCCCAAAACGTGGTGGGAAGACAAGGAGGGCAGTGAGCTCGTTCAGAGCCCTGAGAGCAGCTTGAGGGCGTGAGCAGGTTGGGAGATAGTTTACTCCAAGTAGGCCTCCGTGTCACCCCTTCTGCTCTCCGTTCCTCTTATTTCTGCATCATCTTACTCCTTGCCGTCGGGAAAACTCACCAAAGCTCTGGGCAGACCCCAGGGTCTCCAAGGTAAGAACTCCCACATTCCTTTGTGTTTTCTACAGATGGGGATGTAGCCTTGAGTGTCCTGCCTGAGAAAAAGGACCGAGAAGTATGGGAAACCTCCTTCAAAGCCCTGGCTCAGCCCTTCTTCCAGGTACGCCTGCGCCCAGGTGCCGCTCGCGGGCCTCACGCAGCCAAGACGCCGCTTCGCCGGCCAGCGCGGCCACATCCGGACGCGCCTGCCAAGCTCGGGGTGTTCCCACGGGGGAGAGAAAGAGACTCGTCCCCTCTGGTTTGAACTGGGAGCTCGTCCTGCTGCGGTCTCCTGTTCTGCTCCTGCGGAGCGATGGCTCGTTGGATGCTTTTGAGATGCCGATTTGCATCGGCCTTGGGAACCAGTTGGGTTTCTCCCTTCGTTGTCCTTGTCCCTTTGGTGGCAAGTTCCCACCACGGTCCCCCACTTCTCCAGAGCTCGTGTTGCTTTTCTTTGCCCTAAGACCCCCTGAATCCCCTTGGGCTGGTTCAGTAGCGAAGGATTTTGGACAGGCTGGAGCCATGGGCTGAGCCCGACTGGGGGAGTTTCACTGAGGGCAAATGCCGGGGGCTGCCCTTGGGCCACAACAGCCCCCAGCAGGGCTGCGGGCCTGGGGAGGAGTGGCTGGAGAGCTGCCAGTCAGAGAGGGACCGGGGGGTGATTGACAGACGGCTGAACAGGAGCCAGCAGTGTGCCCAGGGTTCCAAGAAGGCCAATGGCATCCTGGCTGGTGTCAGCCCTGGCGTGGCCAGCAGGGACAGGGAAGGGATCTGAGCCCTGGGCTGGGCACTGGTGAGGCCGCCCCTCGCTGAGGGGGTTCAGTTCTGGGCCCCTCACCCCAAAAAGGCCATTGAGTGACTCGAGCGTGGCCAGAGAAGGGCAACGGAGCTGGGGCAGGGTCTGGAGCACAGGTCTGCTGGGGAGCGGCTGGGGGAACTGGGGGGTTCAGTCTGGAGAAGAGGAGGCTGAGGGGAGACCTCCTGGCCCTCGGCAACTCCCTGCCAGGAGGGGGCAGAGAGGGGGGATGAGTCTCTGGAGCCAAGGCCCCAGCGCCAGGCCCCGAGGGAATGGCCTCAAGCTGCCCAGGGCAGGGTCAGGCTGGCTCTGAGGAAGGATTTCTGTGCAGAAGGGGCTGTTGGGCGTTGGAATGGGCTGCCCAGGGCAGGGGGGAGTCCCCGGGATCCCTGGAGGGGTTGAAGAGTCGGGCTGAGCCAGCGCTGAGGGATCTGGGGGAGTTGGGAAGGGTCAGGGGGAGGTTCATGGTGGCACTGGAGGAGCTTCGAGGGCTTTTCTAACCGAGGTGATTCTGTGATTCTGGGTGGCTCCTAACGACCTTTTGGTTTCTTGCAGAAATTAGAGCAGAGGCTTAATTCTGTCAAGGAGCAGAGGATGAACGAAGGTCCCCACGGCTCCAACCTCCTCCTGAAACTGGCGTATAGCCAGACGCCACCTTTGGAAAACCTGCCGAGGGAGGGCTTGATCAACCAGCCTTGCATGTGGAAGTTTGAGCAGAAAACCACCATCCAGTCCCTGATGCATTTCCTCCAGCAGGAGGATGGAGAAGGCTCTGGAAGCTCCTACCCCATCCTGCTGGAGCTCCTCTCCAAGGTTTGCTGCGGGAACATCTCCTCTCCTCCCAAACACCTGCAGGCGCTGAGTCGCTTCAGCCTGGTTGGTGGCCAGGGGGCACTGGGGTCATTTTTTTTTTTTTCCCCGCACCATCTTTCTTCGGAGCATCCAAGCAAAACAAGGTCCCCCTCCCCGTTCCCCCGTGGTGCCAGGTGGGATCCCCCTCCCTCGAATCACGCTGAATTTTTTTCTCTTCCAGCTTGAGAACATCCAACACGTCCGATACCTGCCCGACATTTTCCGTCTGCAGAACGCCCTGATCCACTTCTTCCAAAACAGCTACAAAGGGGAAAATTACACAGTCAGGCAATTCCTGGATCAGCCGGAACTTTCAGGTGCCATCTGGAATTCCGTCGTGCCCGGGCCGCGGGTGTTAGACACCCCCTCGGCACCCAGATTCTCCCCTGAGAAGCTGCTGCCTGTAGTTTGCGTCGTGGAGGCAACTCAGCTGACATCAAGGCTGGGGGTGCCTCTGCCAGAGCAATTTTGGGGGGTGATTTAGGCGAGGTTGAAGGCATCGGGGTGGATCCAGAGCAGACCCTTTCTCCTGGGGTGTTTGATGCTTGGCGAGGGTGTCCTCGGTGGGGGTGAGGCTTTTCAGCTCCGAGGTCGTGGCGCCTGGTTGCTTGATGCCACGTGAGGTCTCAGGCGGGCTCAAAGCCCGGCTCAAGCCAACGCGCAGCGCGGGGTGACGCCTCCGGCGCTGGAGAGATCCTTTGGCCTGACGTGTCTCCTGGGAGGGGGCCTTGATGGGGCTGTTTTCTCCTCTCCCTTTTCCCACAGACGACCAGCGTTTGACTTTCAGCAGAGCTATCGAGACGATCCGGAAAGTTTGGAGAAATATTAAGATGAACCCATCCAGCTCGGGTAGGTGGTCACGTCCCTCCGAGGCCGAGTTGCTTTCGGCAGCTCCCCTTTGTCGCAAAATTTCTGAGCTTTCTTGCTTTCCATCTGCTAAAACCAAATTAAAAACCTCTTCTGAAAAGACAAAACCTCGTTAAAAAAAACCCGTCCAAGACCTCAGCGAAAGGGATAATTGATCCGTGCTGCGGTAAAAGACCGTTCCGCCTTTTATTCCAGGCATCCCCTTCCTGCCGAACCTTTCACCGGACAACATCAACACCAACACCGCTGTCCTGCACCTCCTCCCCACCCAACCCTCCATCAGCCACCTGGTGACCAGGTTCCTCATCCAGCTGCAAAACAACTGCGTCAACACTGCCGCGGTGGTCACCAGGGAGAAGCAACGGTGGGTCTCGAGCCGCTCACCCCTCGGCCTTCTGCGTCTCCTCCACCCTCTGTTAAAGGCCCCGCGAGAGGCTCTCAGGGCTTCCAGGGGAGCCGCGGTGGCCAAGCGATGCCGTTGCGAGGCCGCGGTGGTCTTTTGTTTGGCAAAGCCGGTCCTCGGTGGGGGAATAGGCCAAGGCGAGAGGCCCTGCACCCACACGGGGCCAACCGTTCCTCTCCCAGGTCCATCTCTGCGGAAGAGGTGAAGCCCTCCTCCGTGCTGGCCGTAACCAAGAGCGATCTGGTGACCATGGCGCTCGCCAACTTGCAGTATGAGGTAGACGAGAACGGCCTCAAGACGACCTACTTCGACTTCCAGATGCTGCAGCGGCAGGTGGTTCATCGCTTCATCAGCGGGAAGCCCAGCATCAAGGCTCAGGTGAGCTCAGCGCTGGCCAAGTTGGGTTGTCCCAGGCCAGCGGCGGGACTGGAGCCCCTTTCCAGCCTCTTCTCCGTGTCTTTCTGGAGTCGTCAGACTCGACTGAAAGCTTTGGCAGATCCGCACGTCTGTCTCTGTTCCTCGGGGGGGGGGTTTGAAGGTTTTTCATGGCCAGAAACCCCTTCTGTGGTCAGGAAATGGTGGCCTGAAAGGTACCGTGGGGACCTACAGCCCCGTCTCTTGTTGAAGAGGAAGCCAACCTGGTGTCTTTGGGAACGAGGGAAGAGTTGGGAGCTGTTCCGAGAACTTCAAGAGGGATCTTCCAGGGTTATGATTGGTCCAGAGGGAGACTCTGAAGCACGTCTCTGGCTGGAGGGCTCCGTTCTGTGAAGATGGAGCTTGGAGCTGCTGGGAAAAAGGGACTTGAGGCCACCAGAAGCGGGTTGTCCTGCAGCAGCTGGGTGTGTGTGTGTGTGTGTGTGTGCTCTGAAGGTGGAGATCAGTCCCCCCTGGCTGATCCCGGGGCTCTTTCGGTCCTCGGAAATAGCTCCCAGGAGGCCTTTCTCCGTCGCCTTGCTGGGGATGGAGGTGAGGCTGTGAGCTCCTCCATCATGGAGGTGCCTTCCTCCAGCCAACAGGGACCTCCACAACCCCACCGTGGCCTCAGGAGGCCACCGACCGCCTCCTGCAGAACCCTCGGGGACATCCCCTGGGCTCGCGTTTGCCCAGCTGAGCTTCTCCGCTGGCCCCCGTTAGGTGACACTGGGCCCGTTCGTAACCATCTGTCCCAAACCCTTTCCAGACGGCTCCATCCATTGCCCTCAAAAACGTGAGGACCCTCCAGGCCACCAAGATGGAAGTCAGGGAACAAGTGCCCCAGGTAGGACACGAGGCGTGGGTTTTCTTTCTCCTCCATCCAACCCTGAGGTCTCCCTTCAAGTCCCGTGACACGACACCGGGACACAGAGACTGGGCAGACGTGTGGGGAGACCCAAAACCAACTCGAGCGAGGGGTTGGACCCAGTTCTCCTGCACGAGGGAGGGCATCACGTGGGAGGGCATCACGTGGTGGTGGTCCCCGCCCTCGCTGGGTCCCGCCCTTGACATCCCTGCTCTTCAGGAGCTGCTCAGTGTCAACCAGCAGAAGCGCATCATGGAAGAGGCCCGCTCGGTCAACGCCCTCTCCAAGGCCTTGGCCACCTTGAAGGTGGCTGCCGAGTTCCTGGCCGTGACGGGCGGTGACCCGGATCGCCTGTTGCCCAACTATGTCCGGCAAGACTTGAGGATGGACGCCGGCGCCAAGCAGTTCCAGGACCTACCGGTGGGCGAGGGGGGCTCAGGGCGGGTGGGAAGTGGGACCTTGGTCCCTCCGCCCCTCTGGGAGGGGCTTTGCATCTCCCAGGGCTTCCACCACCTTCACGTGCTCCACGGTCTAACGTCCGTGGAGGGTTGGGGGTCTCCTGCTCAGAGCAAAGAGGTCCTGGGGACACCCGGGGCCCTGGGGACAGCCCAGGTGGGGGGCCCCGGTGATGTGGGAGCCTAGGGGAGGTTGATGGGCCCATCTGGATGCTTGAACTGGGCAACCGAGTTGCAGCCGTGGTGGCCCAACGCGTCCTCTTCCAGCTGAGCGTAGGTGGGACCTTTCCGAGGAGCTGAACGCCTGTGCCCCTCTGTCACCCTTCTCCAGGTGGTGCCCAACACCCAACTGAAGCACATCCTGTCGCTGTGGCAGGTCCTGGCAGCTCGCAGGTCCATGCTGTTGGTCCAGATGAACCAGGTGAGGAAGATGAGGTTGGGGGAGGAGGGAGGGAGGAAGTAAATATGTGGCTGGGGCCAGGTGACATTTTCGACATCCGCCCCTCAGCCCTTCCGTGGATCACGTCAAGGTCTCTGGCCCATCCTGAGGATAATCCACTCCCCTGGGTGTTTTTAAGACTGGCTTAGGTCTCGGAAGCTCTCTGGTGGCCCTGATAGGAGGGTCAAGGACACCAAGAGGCTTGTGGTGGTTTTTGCAGGATCCCTTCTGCCTGGTGCCCAAGGAGTTCCAGGGGAAGCTGGATGCAGGGCAAGCAAAGGACCTGGCCTTCGCGTTGTCCAACACCAACCTCGACCTCTTCCTCATCGAGCTGCACGAGATGATCATGGTGGCGTTGTCCAAATTTCAGCCCGAATACGAGTAAGTCCAGGGCGTGTCCTGGAAGAGCTGGAGCAGGGGAAAAAAAGTCGTGACTTCCCGGAAGGGTTTGGTTGAGGAGAGAGCTCTGAAGGTCTCTGGTCTAGAGAGTCTAAAACCAGCCCTGACAGGAGGGGGCAGAGAGGGGGGGGAGTCTCTGGAGCCAAGGCCCCAGCGTCAGGCCCCAAGGGAATGGCCTCAAGCTGCCCAGGGCAGGGTCAGGCTGGCTCTGAGGAAGGATTTCTGTGCAGAAGGGGCTGTTGGGCGTTGGAATGGGCTGCCCAGGGCAGGGGGGAGTCCCCGGGATCCCTGGGGTGTTGAAGAGTCGGGCTGAGCCAGCGCTGAGGGGTCTGGGGGTGTTGGGGA